CAAAATAATATCAAAATTCAAACTGCAACAGTAGTTGCTGAACCAAAAAGTTGTGATACAGCAAGAGAAGCACCGCATGATTCAGAGGCACAATCAAAAGAGGCATATGACAGTAGTTATTGTGAAAGTGAGAATGTTGTGTTATCAGGGAAGGATTTCAGGGAACATAATTCTGAGGAGGTTGAATCAAGAACGGACAAACTGCAAAAGGTAAGTATTTATGGCACTTACATTTGACACACAAACATACTTCAGTCATTGTTTGCTGCTTTTATTTTAAAGAACATCACCACACCAGATGAAAATTACATACTTTTTTGGTAGTGGATCTTATATTTGTGATAACTGTTGGACACTTATTTTTAAATATTTTAAAATTATATTGTATAGTAAAGGTATTCCGATATGACTTTAATTATAGATACACTTGATCTTGTCCTAATCAGATAACAATTAAATGATTATATCCTGATTGATAATGACATTTAGGTACAGGCGTACCCGGGGTTTTGACCACCCCATAATATGACCAACCTGCCAATATGACCTTTGTGTATTGATATTGCACCCTACAAATACTCCCGATGTTTCAACTGTTGATTTTGATATGGGCAGGCTCATTAATTTATTTCATCGTGTCGTCTTCTGTGTGTGTCACACAATGACCCAGACAATTGCTGCAATGGGTAATGAATTCTGTCCAACCTTTAAAGCATTCTGGAAGGGCTACAACATATGAAATTTAATCAGTAACATTGGAGATTCGTGGATTGAAATTAAGCAGTCCACAGTCATGGAAAAAACTTTGCCCACAATTTGTAACAGACTGTCAAGATGTTTCAAGAGATACTCAGCAGATCACAGAAGAAGTTCGTGATTTGGGGAGGCAGCTTAATTTAGAAATGGATGCAGCAGGTGTTGATGAATTAACTGCATCGCATTCTGAGGAATCATTGTCCAACGAAAACCTCATCTGGCTTCAGCAGTCCAACGTACCATTATACTGCAAGATGCTGAATCAGATGAAGACGTTATGATTTCTCCACCACCAGCAAAGGTTTTCGAATTGAAAAGTCTTGTTTCGATTTTGCAGAAAGCGAACGAGCTTATAAATACAATTGAGTAAGAAGACCCTAATGCAGAAAAGAGTTTGAAGGTGTACAGAGATGTTGAGATGGAGCTGGCAAGGTACAAGGTGCTGCATGAAGAGAAAGAAGGCTATTGTGCGACCAAAGCTGGATAAGCTTTTCTCTGAAGTTGAGATACCATCACTGTAGTAAATAGAACAACCATCCACTTCTACAGCCTTTTGCATAGTCTCACAACTTGTTTCACGGGGTTCGTATTTAATTATAAATTATTTAATTATTATTCTGGGTGATTTATTTGATTATTATGTATCTGAGATTACTATTAATTAAATATAACCTTTATTAAATTTAAGTATTGCTACAATGTAATGATAGTTTAGTCACATTTATCATTATATGGCAATCGCAAATAGTTTTTTTACAAGCTCTGGAACCTATCTAAATTTATAACATGCAAGCCTATGGGACAACTTACCCTGTGATATAACCACATTTTCGAGGAACATAACCCTGTCGTATTGTGGGGTACGCCTGTACCGATATTATCAACTCCTCAGCCATGGCCTCCGTATTGTATAGACATCAATTTTGTCACATGATGCCTACTACTTGTGTACTTTGTATGAACCATGTGTGTTGGGTTTTAGTCTCCTCCATGTACAGGTAGGACACCATTTAAATGGCTACTGTCACTGAGGGGTTAATATCTGATCTTTTAGAAAGGTTCATTGTTACACTGACACTATCTGGTAACTGAAAAAGTTGGGGATAGACTGTTGTAATTAAGTAAACGAACAATAAGAAGTTTCATACAGAAAAAATTAGATATTACGGATCAAAAACATGGAAGCTACAGGCAGTATCAGATGAAAATCTTAGTTGGAATAACTGTTGTGAACTTCTGCTTGCAAAATGATCTCATCTCAGGAGACTACATTTTTTCAAACAGTACCATATAGATTAGAAAGAGACAAACCAAATTTCTTGTATTTCAGGAAAGATATAATGGAACAGATTCGCTTAACTATCGGATGGATATAAGGGAGTGGATATACCTCATGAAGAGAATAATGGAAGAAATATTTCCCACGATTAAGTCAGCATGCTTGTAAATATCAAGAAACAGTGGACATTGCATCCTTAATGCTGAAGGAAGAATTGTGGTAAATATTCAGTCAATATTGTCAGATTAATGAACATAGGTATGGTTTTCTGTCATGTGAAGTTCCACATTTTATTGTAACCAGCCCCTTCATTACAGGCTTTTGTTCAGAACATCTTGTCTCTCAAAGAAACATGAAATGAGGACCTCACTGCATTCAGAGATAGTTTACTCATGAATATTGTCTTTTAGTCATCTTTAAAATGGCAACAGAATAGCTATTGGATTTTAATTTTGTAAACAATTAAATGTTAAAGATATTTTCATATTGCTTCAGGAGTAACTCAGGAAAACAAACAAATAAAGGTAAAATTTTAGTCCTAAATAACTTTATTTACACATAATTAAAAATAAAACGTATAATTATATAAATTTTGTAGATATCAGCCTGGAAACCAATTATTCTGACAAGTGTTAACACATTCATGGCAGGAAAGCAGTTTCGTGCATTTGTAGCGCTCACACTACGCATTGGGAGACGGAATTTATGAGGGCTGCTCAATGACCATATATTATGTAGATCCTCCTAAAACTCCCTGCCCCCCCCCCCCCCAG